CGAAAGAAGAACTGAAGCCTCTTCTCGTCCTTCGATACGCGGGCTGCCCCAAGGCCACCCCGGGCCTTTCCAGGCCCTCCAAACAGCCGAAAACCGACAGGTACTCATCAGCTTTTTTCAGCAGTTTCTATTTCCAATCTTTTACTCATCAGCAATTTTTATTCCAAATTATTACATCACAATTCTATACACTGTTGTGATTTTAATTTCTCAAGATGTGTCTCAAAGGAGTATCCCCAGATGGTGACGGTCCAGTTTCCGAAAGAAGAAAGACAAATCCCATCTGGTGGGGTCCAGCTCCCCAGATGTGTGTCCACCTTTTAATTGCAGAGACTCTAAATCTCGTAACAGTGATGTCCAGCTTCCCTTTGGTCAAAACCATAAACCCTTGAGGTGATGTTCATCTTCCTTTCTAAAGCTGTTTTTCTCTGCTTCAATAAGGCGTGAGATAAGCATATTTCCTTTATATATATATTCCAAAGCTATAGTTTCAAGGATAAAAGTAATATTCTAAAATTATACTTCAAAAGGTTATTATTGCAGAGCTTTTTATGGATTAAATGCAAGCAAAGAGCAACATCCTTAACACCTTAATTCCAATGCTCCTAAATCAACCAGGATTAATTGCAAACAAAAGATAGATTCAAAGGCCTTTTTCCATGCTTTATTTTCCTCAGTTATTATTAGAATTCGCAACTATCCCATTGTCAGTGTCCACACATTTCGCATTTGCAAGTACACACTTTGCCTGTTTGTACCTGACACCAAACACAGCTTTGCATCTCACGTTTGGGAGGGAGGCAGGGGCTGGGTTGTGTTGTGCTGGAGAGCAAAGCCCTGAGGGTGTAGCTCGTGCTGCTGGCTCTCTCAAAGGGGCTGTGAAGGATTCAGCCTCTGGGCTGGGAATGGATTCAAAGCTGATGCTCTGATGTGGGCTGTCTGGAAGCAGCCTCATCTAAATGATGTAATCATGCACCTCAAATGGAAAAACAGAGGGGAGGCAGGAAAGAGCTGGAAATGCAACAGCTGGATGTAGTTGTCTTCCTCATATCTCCTTTTTTGATGCTGAGGAGTAATTGTGCTGTGCTTGAGGTTCTCTGCACACAGCTGAGGTGTGGTATTGATTTATTAAAAATATGGATATTGATCTAGTACTGATATCCAACTGTGGTGGACAAAAACTCTCTAACAGTTTAAAGTTAGAAAGTAGATGTTTATTGTGGGATAGCTCCCAAATACACACTGTGATTTACAGGTGATTACAGAGTCCTTTTATCTATACAGGTATTGAATACTGTATTGTATATATAAATGTATTATTGAATACTCTAGTATTGTATGTATAAAATACAAATGCATTTTCATAACTTTGGTACATCCCATTCCCCACTTCCCATGGTAATTAGTTCAAAAGCCATTAAGCATGGGTAGTTGGTTCCTCAAAATGAGTCGGTGGCCCCCTTCATGGGGAGGGGTCCCAAAATGAGGAGGTAAATGAAGTCTTCCTCCTTCTGACCTTTCTACCTTTTCAATACAAATATGACAAATGAGCCCTTGGTAGAACTCCCACTCCCCATCTTCAATTGATTTCAAAACAGAAGAGTCCTACAATTGTCTTATGTTCCTAAAAGCTATTTATCAGTTTTTCTATATTCTTCATTATAAACCCAGCTAACCAAACATTATGTTGGCAAGCAATCAATTCTTAGTTAACTACTAACTCTTAACTTCATCAAGGCCTACCCATTTATTTTCATTAACTCCAATAAAGCTTATCTCTAACTTAAACCTCAGCTCCTCTGAAATCCCTAAATTCTTTAAAGTTTATGTCTCAGTATTGTGTTAAAAATACTCAATTTAAAAGCTCATTTGTTGTGATTCATGTTGTTGTAGTGCACTGGAGTTTGTCTGCAGTGCAGGAGATGTGGGAGGCTCTCAGCCATGGTGGAAGTTACAGTTTCCAGGAGGGTTTGACACAGGATGTTCCCAAGAAAAGTGTGCCATGATAATTGCTGTTGTTAGGATGTCAGACTTTGTTGGATTGCATGCTTGTGTGATCTGCTGGGTGTGTGATCTGTGTGTCCTGCTGGGCTTTGCTCTTCTTCAGATGCTTTGCAAGAACGATTCCAGTAAGGCAGAGGAAGTGAAGCCACAGAAGGGCAGCTCTGAAGATGAGACTGAGGTGGAGATGGAAGATGCTGTACAAAAAGTGTGCAGTGCAACTGGGTGTTCAGTAAGTATCAAGGAGCCCTTCTGGGCTTAATGTTCAAACCTTGATACATGGAAGTAATGTTGGGAAAAGTTCTAAAAAACTCTCATCTTGTACAAACTTGGGTACCATGGCCATCAGTCAGGGTGCATCTCATCCTAGAGTCAGCCCTTTAATGCAGGGGAAATGCCAGCTTTTTTGTGGATGCCTGATAATTTTAGAAAGTTTGTTTTGAGGCTCTCCTGAAAATTCACTTGGAAACAAATCCTGTAAGTTCTGAAATCCTTTGGGGGTATTGAAGATCCCAGATAATTGGATAATCTGTGACTTTTGGCTGTTGGCACTGAGCAGGTACATAGAACAGAAAGGGCCAAGAGGGAAGCTTACACTGAAAACAGCATATTCCTTTTTTCTGATAGCTTCAGGAATTTAAGGTTTTTCCCCTCACCCTTTCAGAAATGAAGCACAGACCAAGTAAATGATCATAAAAGCAGCAGCCCCCTCTCAGTGGTGCAGGTGTTGTTAAGTGTATGTGGGTCACAGATTTGAACTTCTTCAGTGTTTTCCTTCCCCTCTTGTGGACAGGACATGGATTTAGTGAGCCACATTCTTGAGGTGGAGGACTACAACGTGGAGTCTGCAATATTTGTCATCTTGCAGATGAAGGAAGTGGAAGGAATAGGTGAGTGCACAGTTTGTCACCTGGGGCTTTGGTGACCGTGATGTCAATGTTGGGGACAGGAGCAGGAGAGGTGGGGTTTGTGTGCTGCCACTTCAGCCTCCTGTGCTCAGGAAGGTTGTTAGTGAGGGCAGCATCAATCCAGCTTCCAAAAAGCTCCACGATTTCTGGGAAGAAGAATTGGCTGACAGTGCAACAGCCCCTGGGTAGAGCATGTCAGCATGTCTGAGGAAATCTCTGCTGTTGGCAGGTGCTGAGGAGCAGCAGGAGCCCCCAGGCAGGGAGCAGAAATCCTGCAGCAGGACACTGTGGGAAGAGAATGGAACTGGTTCAAGAATCTTTGGAAATCAGAGCTTGCATCCAGGTGAAGCAGAGAACAACAAGGGACAAGCTGGATCCAGGGAAGAGAACCGAGCCAGCAGGAACCCAAAGGTGTGTGAGGGGTTTGGCAGCAATGTGAGCACCCCTCCATGATTGGGGGATGCCTTAGCACTGCTTACCCAGCAGCTCTCTTCTCCTTTCAGTTTACAAGAGCTCCTGCTCACTGCATTTTGTCACTGCTGCAGCTGTGAGTGCTCTGCCACAGACATTTCCTGGTGACATGCAGCTCGGAATAAAGTCCTGATAAATAGTCAGGAATGTCCTCTGGCAGCTGCCTTGCTATCTTTGTCTCCTTTATTACTTTTCCCTGGCTGAGCAGAGCACGTGTGGTTTGAACTTTGTGTTTTCATCCTTCCCCTGCAGGTGGCCAAGAGGCAAAGGAAGGAGCAGCAGCGGCTGGAGAAGAAGAAGCGGCAGGAGGAGAGGCACCGGCAGAAGGTCCTGGCCACCAAGGGGGACAGGGCAGACACCAGCACAGAGACAGAGCCAGCCAGCCATGTCACCCTGGTCAAGGCCATGGCTGCCCTGAACATATGACTCAGTGCTCTGATGAGAAAAGCAAATAAAACTGATGAAGGCGAAATTCCCCCAGGAGAATTTCCAGGCACCCGTGTTTATCTTGAAATCCATCTCTGCTGGGATTTCCAAACACAAGAGAGCTTCCTCTTCCTTTGCTTGTGGGGAGGACAATTGCTCATTGATTCTGCATCAACCTGTGGTGAGAAGAGCTGTTTAAACTTAACAGGAAGTAGAGACTTGGATCTATAATTTTGGAGTTACATGAAGGTCAGGACCTTTTCTTCACACAACGGTGTCAGATTTATTTTGACATCTCTTGATGTGCCTGGTTTGGTTTTGTTTTGGTTTTTTTTTTATTTTATTTGGTTATGCCTGGAGGAGCTTTATTTTACCTCACTGTCAGGGTGTCAGACAATCTCTTAACAAATCTCAACTCAGGAATATCTCTAGTGGATCTTTTTCTATTTAAATTCAAAAAAAAGTAAGAAAACAGAGTCCCAGAATCCTTTCCAAAGCAAAGTGTGTCAGCCAGCACTGCTGTCTCAAACATGACATTCCTGTTTTGTTTGCCATGCAGGAATACAGTGACAAGTTTTAATCTCACTGGAACTGCTGGCATTGCACTGAGCAGGTTCAGAAGTGATGAATACATGGAGGGAGCTGGGGATTGCTGCATCCATGCTTGCTGAGGTTTGGGATCAGCTCCTTTATGATGAGACCTGTAGGGGATAAAAAAACCCCAAAACAATAATCCCAGTTGACTCATGAGAATGCAGAGCTGATTCTTCTGATCTGGTAAAATGTGACAGGAACAGGCTTCAAGTTTCTGATGCATGGTGTTACTTGGACACCTGGAGTCTTGTCCCCTTTGCCCTGTTCCAGAGCTTTTGGGCCACTCCAGGGCTTTAGTCCAAGTCAGGGGCTGGCTAGGTGTCAGTCTCCAAATGAAATCAGTATAGCCAAAGGACCAAGAGAACTGAGAAGAAGCTCCCAAGCCGCATTGATCCCAGGAAAACCTGCCTATTTCACTTCATAAATCAACCTTTTTTTCCAGGGTAGTTTTTTTTTCTTCTTAAATTCCATTTTAGTGAGGTCACCAAGTAGGATGCAGAGCTTGACTCCTGTGATGTTTTCCACTGTAGGACTGAGAATTTGGATAGAAGTGAAAGGGCTGTGGGATTGATCAGCCTTTGATTTATAGCTCCCAGTGTTTCAGCTCCACTCAGGTTTTTGGACTTGTAACAAGCACTAAGCTTGAAGAAAGGACATGTGCACTACACACTGAGACACCTCATCAGCCATGGCAGAGGTGAGAGGGATTTTTTAAAAGTAAGGAGTGTTGCATTTTAAAAACTTGTCTGTGCTTAAAAGTTTATAAATCAGCATGGAAATATTAATGGGTTTTTACTGAACTGCCAGGAACTGGGCTGGTACTTGAAGAATAAGAAGGAAGGACTCTCCTGTAAGAACTGGTGGCGTAGGAATTCCTTTTTCTCCAAGACAGTCATTTTTACAGTAGTGGGAAGGGAGGTGAGTCACAGCTTAGTGGGGAGAAAGTGCAAATTCTTTCAGGGGGTGATAAATTGTGACAGCGGGTTTGGCAAGGCAGTGCAGGTGACTGTGTCACCCGTGTCCTGCCCTGTCCTGTGTTTTGGTCTGAAAGGCAGGTGTGTTCTGAGGTTTGAAGAGATAAGAAATTGCAGTTGTGCACTGTGAGTAAGAGATTTGATCTCAATGATTTGGGGTTTTGTCCTGTGGAGCCAGAGCTGACAAGACATTCATTGTTGCCTGCAGCCTGAGAGCTGTGGAGGGAGTTGGTGAGGAGGGAACCCAAACCTCACCCCATGGTGTGCAGCAGGAAAGGAGGGTCTGCAACAGCAGCACCAACAGCAGAGGGAGAGAGTGGCCCACAGCTCATGGCCTCTGATACATGAACAAAATCTGGGGCTGAAAATGCTTTCATTTCCAAGTGTAATGTGATTAAAATAAACTCTTAATGTGCTGGGCTCTTAAATCTTGACAAACCAGTCAAATTCCCTTTATCTTGCCAGGGCAGCTTTGTGCCTGCACAGCCATTCCATATCCAGAGATGTTAAAACTGATTTTGTCTCTTTCACGTTTTTCCCGTTGAAATTTCCACCTTCCCAATGTATATTTTTTTCCCTAGGGAATCTTTGTGCAACATTCTTCACCAAACTCAGTTTATGCAGTGAATTTGCTTTGCAAACTGATGGTGGGTTTTGCTGGGAGGAGGAAGGGAGGCAAGAGAGCAGAGCAGAACAACACTGTGATTCATGCATGGTGTGTGTTTACTCCTTGGTGGAGCTGAGTGCTCCGTAATCCACGGGCCAGGGGTGGACAATGAGCCCTGGATGCTCCCCTGGGCTCTGAGGAGGATGACTGTTTGTTCTTAGCAGCTGGCTGACACATAGGAGGGTGTTTTGGCTCTTGCTGCAGCAGGGTCACTGTGAGCCTCTCAAGGGCAAATACACAGCAGGAAGATGTAGAAAACCACTGTCCCTGCCTCCTGTCTCCCTCCATCATCTTCCCTCGACTTATTTTCCCAAATCCTGCCCCTGCAGGTCAGAATTCAGTTGAACTGGAAGTTTTAAGCAGGTTCTGGCTGACCTCCATAAGCATGGCTGTGTGTGGGAAGGGTTTCTGCCCGTGCTGCTCCGTGTCTCCTTTCCCTTGTTCCTACTTAGGAGCTGCCTTCTGGTTTATCTCAGCTCTGCCACATCACCCATGGCCTCCATGCCTGCAGAGCTTTGGGAGCTGCAGAAAGGGAGAGAAATTGGGCATGAA